ATAGACACGGACACCTCAGGCTGCAGCGAAACCGGGTCAGAATCATCTTTATCCACAAAGAAACTGTCGGAAAGATCAACGACATCGGGAAATTTTCGTGACTGGGCTCGAGTAATCACACATGCAGGGAACACAGTTAAATCTTCTGCATCTTCTTTACTTAAAGCAGAAATTACACTAAACGGATTCTCATTGACTTCAGGAAGAGGAAGTACTTTTTCACCTGCCAAATCATTTCCAACAATCATTGTAACTCCCTTCACAGGTAACTGCGTTCGTACAGCCACTTTTACGAAACCAGTTATCAAATCGGAAAGAATATGCAACTTCACAACTCCCATCTCAATTCCCTGCACTAAAACATCTGAGCCACAGTACATTTCCTTCAAGAATGGCAAAGCACTTTCTAAAATGAAGGACTGAGCAGTTCCTGTATCACGCAGCCAGGTAACAGGGACTTGATCCTCCTCTAGACCACTTATCGAAATCATACCTTGACCAATAAAAGGTTCAAAAACAGAATCAATTTCGTACTATTCCGTACCAACAGTTCGTACAAAGCCAACACTTTTCGCTTGTCTAAACTTATTTTTCTTTTTCAAAACGGGACCGAAAGCAAATGACCAGTCTCGTGACAATGAAAACATTCACGAATGTCAGGTGATCCTGACAATTTCGTTAATTTGGTTGTTTTGGTTTTATCCGAATTCGCAGAATACGGTAATTCTCGCAGAGCAGGTACTGCAAACACATTTTTGTGCATTAATACAAATTCATCAGCACACACAGCGGCCTTGGCAATAGTGGAAATCTTTTTCTTTTTTAAGTATACCACTATTTTATCTGGCAACGAATTCTTAAAATCCTCAATTAAAACGAGTTCACGAAGCTGCTCAAAATTAGTCGCTTTGCTGGACTGGCACCACTTATCAAAGAGAACACCCTTTTCACGAGCATACTCAACGAATGTTTGTTTGGCAGTTTTCACGTGAACAAAATTTTTGACGATAAGCTTTGGGGACAAGCTCATAGGCTCTCAACACAGCAGACTTAATCTTATTATAATCTAAACTGTCATTAATAGACAGCATCAAACAAACTTCCTGAGCCTTTCCTGTCAAACGACATTGCAACAAAAGAGGCCACATTTCTTTTTGCCAATGCTAAGCTACAGCAATGCGCTCAAAAGCACCGAAATGCAAATCCTCACCAATGGGGACAACAGCAGGTGCAGTCTTAGACTCATCAGGCGGCCGGCGACCAGCTTGCGTCTCCAACTCACATTGTCTAAAACGTAAAAGTTGTGTAGTATGCTCTTGACGCTTAATTTCCAAATCAAGTTGCTTTAATTTAATAGCGAGTTTTAAATCTTCCGTCCCTAACCCACTAATGGCGCTTTTCCACTGCGTGGTACGACTCGGCTCAGTATGGTACGACACGGCACGGCTCGGCACGGTTTGCGTTTCCACTGCAGTTCAGTACCGCTTTAGAGTGGGTGGGATTATTCACATGTCGTTATAGTCGCGCCGCCTCTACTACCACGACTCCTAAAAAAAACTTTTTCATTCCGCGTCGCCCCATCAAGCTCTCGCTGGATCCGCTCCTCTGCTATCAATGAGAGGAACGTCTGTTCTTCCGCAACAGACAACAAAACTTTTTGGTTGTTAAAAAAAAGGTGCGCTCGTTCAAAACAGTTGCGTTCGATCCTTCGCTGGCTGTGCTGATTTAAATCTAGCGGTTCTGTTGTGTTTGTGTCGCAAGTTCAGTGACGCAGGTAGTGACGATTCTCTCCGGCCAATCCGTGATCAGCAGAGTTTACACGTCACGTTTTGGTAACGGTACAGTTCACTTGGAACCCCAACCGAAGTGGTACTAAAAAAAGTACCAGGTACCAGGTACTGTACCCAGTGGAAAACCCCCCAAAAGTGAACCGTACCGAGCCGTACCGTGCCGTATCATGCAGTGGAAAAGCGCCATAAGCGAGCGCAGCACCGGATCACTACTCGGTACCAGCTCTTCATCACCTGAGTCTTATTCAATCTCCTTAATAACCTCTCTTTCAGAATTGTGAGATGCTATCAACACACCCCGTTTAATCAAGTTTATATTACATCCCGCACTTCTTCCTTGCGAGCTGCTTTTACTACAACAATATCATAATAATTAGCAACCAAAAACAAATCTTCTTTACTACATGATTCCAATGCTTCAAACGAAGGCTTTTGTCGAAATGCCTCAATACTAAAATCCATCCTTATATTCCTTTCCCCGCCACACAAGAAAAACTGCCAATCAAATTTACTCACCAGCAAAACGAAAAGGAAAATACATACCATAGGACGAGCCCTCATTTGTTACGGCCCATTTTAATAGGGTGAGAGGTGAATGAGTGATGTTAATGGGATTCTGACCACAGCCAACAGATCACCAAAGACAACAAATATAAGTTTAAACAATTTATTAAAGAAGAGTGAAATGAATGTAAGGAGCATTAGCTTCGGAGAGGCCCAAGGCCAAAATAACAAACAAAACAACTAATAAAATAGAGAAAAGATAAATGACTTATTTATAAAGAAAAGAAAAGTACAAATTAACTTCCCTAACTCCCTAAACAAAAACACATCGCAAAATTAGATCAAAATAAATGGCAGACCCCTCCTATGCTCCAAGAATTTTCTTAGGATAAACAGAATAAATCACAAATATAAACAACAACGAACAGTAACCACAAAGCTGTTGGTGATCTATTGACGGAGGCAGAATCCGCAGCTCTTCACGCCACAGAAGCAATCGCCCAAAGTGAGCTCTCCATGTGTTGGTAGCGCCGCCCTTTTAAAGTCATCCACTTCATAATTCATCAATCACGTTCCTTGATGAACAGCCAATACCTGCACACACACACACACACACTCACGTACACAAAGCAAGACACACAAAAACAACAATGCCAGGGATCGTAGCACACATTACCTACAAAAAAGTCTCTTGGTTCAAAATCCTAAACCCAGCAGGAAGTAGGTTATTTTGAATTTCCTGTACGATTTTTGTGCAGTTTTTGCCATTTCCAGGCCTCGTACTTTGACAAACTCCTCCTACAGTTTAAATCATCATTAAATTGCAAAGATCTTGAGTTTTTGTCAAGGGGAGTGTCCCTGGCGGCCTGACAAAGTTTGATATTTCGCCATGAAACAGGAAGTTGCTGTAACTCAGGCAAGCAATGTCCGATCTGCCCCAAACTTCACACGTTTGATAGGTGTTCTGTCCTGAACAAATACCCATGCCAAAATTCAGTTATAGTCATAGCGCCACCTGCTGGCAACAGGAAGTGACATGTTTAACATAAAACATGCTAGCAACACCTAGCTAAGTGCTAAAACATGCTATTATTGCAGAGAAACAGGAAGTTGATGTAACTCAGGCATGCAGTGTCCAATCTGCCCGAAACTTAACATGTTTGATGAGAGTCCTGGCCTGAACACATCTATATGCAAAGATTCAGTTTTAGTCATAGCGCCACTTACTGTCAATAGGAAGTGACATGTTTAACACTGTGATGCACTATTAGCAACACAGTAAAATATGCCATTGTGTGCTAAACATGTTAGAAATATGCTCAAACATGCTAGCAACACTTAGCTAAATGCTAAAGCATGCTTTTAACACCATCAAACAGGAAGTTGTTGTAACTCATGCATACAATGTCCAATCTGCCTCAAACTTTACATGTTTGATTAGAGTCCTGGCCTGAAGACATCTACGTGCTCATATTCGGTTACAGTTATAGCGCCACCTACTGGCAACAGGAAGTGACATGTTTAACACTGTGATGCACTATTAGCAACACAGTAATGTATGTCATTGTGTGCTAAGCATGCTAGAAATATGCTCAAACATGCTAACAACACTTACTAAGTGCTAAAACATGCTATTAATACCATGAAACAGGAAGTTGTAACTCATGCATACAATGCCCAATCTACCCCAACCTTCACACGTTTTATAAGAGTCCTGGCCTGAACACATCTAAAAACCAATATTCAGTTATAATTATAGCGCCACCTGCTGGCAACAGGAAATGACTTGTTCCACAGTAACTTAAACATGAAATGTCTGATCTGCCCTAAACTTCACATGTCTGATAATAGTCCTGTCCTGAACACATCTTAAAGGGTTAGTTCACCCAAAAATGAAAATTCTGTCATTAATTACTCACGCTCATGTCGTTTCAAACCCGTAAGACCTACGTTCTTCTTCTTCCGAACACAAAATATGACACAGCATACGCAGTTTACGTCCAGCGGATACTCTCCAAAATGGTGCTACAGGGTGACGTGGAGGAGACGAATTGTTGAATAAAGTCGTTTTTAGAATTTGTGTTCCGAAGATGAACGAAGGTCTTACGGGTTTGAAACGACATGAGGGTGAGTAATTAATGACAGAATTTTAATTTTTGGGTGAACGAACCCTTTAAGCCCAATATTCCGTTATAATCATAGTGCCACCTGCTGGCAACAAGAAATTACTTGTTTTACACTAACTTGAACATGCAATGTCTGGTCTGCCCCAAGCTTCACATGTTTGATAAGAGTCCTGGCCTGAAAACATTTACATGCCAATATTCAGTTATAATCATAGCACCACCTGTTGGCAACAGTATATGTCATGCTTTACACTAACTCAAACATACCATGTTCAATCTTCACCAGACTTCACATGTTTGATAAAAGTCCTGGCCTGAAGACATCTACATGCCAACATTCAGTTATAATCATAGCGCCACCAGCTGGCAGCAGGAAGTTTTGCACATGTAAATGACTTTGACATATTCCTCCAATATTTACCACTTTAAATGCATATTGTCCACTGTTTGCTGTTTTCCTAAAGCCACCGAGTGGCGGTGAGCCCGGGTGCGAGGGCCCTTTCATCGCTGCTTGCAGCTTTAATTTATATTGTGTTTTTATTTTGAATGTGTTAGTTAAATGAAAATATTTTTTTTTTACCTTGACCAGTAAGTCTGCAATGTCGGATTCTTTCTACTATATCAATGCAGATCAGAGAAAATAGAACCAATGACACTGGCAGTTCAGCAAAAGTGTCCAACCTCAGATTATGTCTAATCTGCACCTAAAAAGGGAGATAGAGAGAAAGAGAGAGGAATACAGTAAGACATAGAGATATGTACATTTTTTCAGATGTATGTTTTTTCTCTTTGCACACCAGTGTTTTGTGTGGTTGTTTTTTTTTTGTTTTTTGCGAACAGAGGTCTTGGAATTTAAGAATTTGGAATGCTTCTCCACAGGCAACGGGTTTTTTTTTTTATTCACTGATGACTAAAGCAATCCCAGCAAACACAGAGCATTCCCCTTACATTAGTATTTGGTTCTTATTTGGTTATTTTTTGAGAACCAAATAATACAATTCTAGGAATGGTCTTTTTAAATTGCCTCTATTGCGTATTTTTGAAAATTAACTTTCATGCAGTGTGTAATGTATGTGAATGTAAACAGTCTGCAAAGTTGTAAAGCTGAAAGTGCATAATAAAAAAAGTTATTGTCTCTCAAAAGAGTTGACTCTGAATCGCTAAAACAAGTCGTTTTAAATTCGAATCCCTTTTCTGTGAAGTTCACACGTCGCAAGTTACCACACTTGCATAATGCCCGCTTATGTTCTGCGTGGACATCCCCACGAAAACTTGAACCCCCTCAAATTTTGACAAGACACTGCTCTGCACTGTGGCAGTAAATTTGTTTATTTTCACTTCCAAAGGATGAGGCTGTGAAGAATCAGTGGATAAAATTCATCTATATTACGATACCACAGCAGTAAACCGCGAGTGCAGCGCGTTAGCATTCCGTTAGCCTGTTAGCTTGTCATTCGCGCCTACTGTTTCCTTCTCTCTCTCTCACTCTGTTTATTTTCTCTCTCGCTCCATTTTTCACGAGTTCATCAAACTACTGTGGTAAGTCGGAATCATTCAACAATCACGGTGAGTAATGGCTTCTCCTGTTATTGTCACTTGCACTGCTTGCTATAGTGTAGCTTTCTCTGTCAGCAGCGAGGGATTAACATGTGAGAAATGCAAGGAAATAGTTTGGCTGACAGAGAAGATCTCAGAACTAGAGACAGACATCCAAACTTTAATTGAGGATAGTAAGAATGTGAGGGCCTTAGATTCGGCTTTGGATGGGACTAGCTTAGCGAGTCCCACACATTGTTCGGTTCCGGTTGCAGAGCCCCCGCAGCAGGGCGATTGAGTGACTGTGAGGCGGCATAGTCGCGGGACAAAACACTGTTTTTCCATTCTGATTAAAACATTATACAGGTTCTCCCCACTCAGTGATGCACCCACTGAGAAACCTGTTGAAAGAATTGACTAATTGGGGCCCAGGTCAGGAAGCAGACAGATAGCCGCCTATCTGCTAGCCGCCTCACGTCACAGAAGTCAGTTAATTCTCAGCACATAGAAACTCTTTCACCTAGATATCATACTATAGAGACTGTGTCTGTTCTCTGAACTAGCAAATACAAAAAACGTCCAGAACAATTTAAGGGTAACAATTTAATTGTTCAACAAATAAAAAACTGATATAATACAGATTAAAAATGTATAAAGCTTGGCTTGATGAATATTAGATCCCTTTCTACAAAAGCGCTTTTTGTAAATGAAATGATCACAGATCATAAATTAGCTGTGCTCTGTTTGACCGAAACCTGGCTAAAACCAGATGATTACATTATTTTAAATGCGGCTACCCCCAAGATTACTGTTATAAACACGAGCCACGTCCAAAAGGTAAAGGGGGAGGTGTTGCTACAATTTATAGAAATATTTTCAGTATTTCTCAGAGCTCTGGTTTCAAGTATAATTAGTTTGAAGTAATGGTGATTCAAATAACATTACCTAGAGAAACAAGTGTTAATGATATATCCCCTGTGACGTTTGTACTGGCTACTGTATACAGGCCACCAGGGCACCATACAGATTGTATCAAAGAATTTGTTGATTTTCTACTGAGCTAGTGCTGGCTGCAGATAAAGTCTTAATTGTTGGTGATTTTAATATCCATGTTGATAATGAAAAAGATGCATTGGGATCAGCATTCATAGACATTCTGAACTCTATTGGGGTTAGACAACACGTCTCAAGACCTACTTAGCTAAAGCTGCAAATTCAACTCCCTGTTACAAATATGGTAGAACCATCACTTCTACCACTAAAGACTGCTTTGTAAATAATCTTCCCGATTTGTCTCAATTTCTCAGCATATCCAATAGCTCAGATAAACTTGATGGTGTAACAGAAACTATTCACTCTCTCTTTTCTAGCACTTTAGATATGGTTGCTCCTTTGCGATTAAAGAAGATTAAGGAAAACAGTCCGACACCATGGTATAACGAGCACACTCGCGCCTTAAAGAGATCAGCTCGGAGAATGGAGCGCAGTTGGAAGAAAACAAAACTAGAGGTATTTCGTATTGCATGGCGGGAAAGTACTTATACTTATAGAAAAGCTCTAAACAATGCTAGATTTGCTTACTTTTCATCTCTCTTATAAAGAAAACAAACACAACCCCAGACATTTATTCAATACAGTGGCTAAATTAATGAAAAATGAAGCATCAACTGTCAGAGAGTCACAGTCACCACAATCAGCACCGACGTTCACAAGATCACAATCACCTGCCTTCTGATTCCCCGCACCTGCCACAGCTCATTAAGCCTCCTTTTATCAGTGCTCACGCTTCACATAATTATTGTCCGGTCTACCGTTCACTACATCGAACCTAGCCGAACTCTCTCTCAGTTAACCTGTGTGTTTCCTCACCGCAGAAGTTCCAGTTTCTCCACCGCTCCACAAGATCCCTGCAAGATTCCTAAAGACAGTCACAGCAAGCCAAGCCATCAGAACCTGATCACCTCACGCTTTACTCACCTCAACATCACCTGGCTCACTTCACAGTCTCCTGTTAATAAATCCTTGTTTGACCTCTACCTCTGTGTCTCCTAGCCTGTGTTCGTGAAATAAACAGACACAGACCTTTCCCAACAGCTCAGCAGTAATGACTTTATGAACTTAACTTCCAAGATCGATACTACTAGGGATAAAATTATAACCATGCAGCCGTCAGCCACAGTATCGCATCAGATAGCGCACTATAGATACCCTGAGGAACAATTCCACTCATTATCTGCTATAGGACAGGAAGAATTGTATAAACATGTCAAATCATCAAAACCTACATGGTTAGACCCTATTCCATCTAAGCTCCTAAAAGAGGTGCTTTTAGAAGGCATAGATCCTCTTCTGAATATTATTAATTCATCAATGTCTTTAGGATATGTCCCTAAAACCTTCAAATAGGCTGTTATTAAGCCTCTCATTAAAAAAAAAACACACAACTTGATCCTAGAGAATTAGTTAATTACAGACCGATCTCAATTCTCCCTTTTCTGTCAAAAATACTAGAAAAGGCAGTGTCCTCTCAGCTATGTTCCTTCTTAGAGAGAAATTGTATCGATGAGATGACTCGGAAAACAGTCTAACATCATGGTCTAACTAGCACACTTGCACCCTAAAGAAAGAATCCTGGAAAAAGGAGTGCAGCTGGAAGAAAACAAAACTAGAGGTGTTTCGCATTGCATGGAGGGAAAGTACTTCCTCCTACAGAAAAGCCTTAAAAACTGCTAGATCTACTTATTTTTCGTCTCTTTTAGAACAAAACAAACATAACCGCAAGTATTTATTGAGTATAGTGGCTGAGTGCAGTCATGGCCTAATGGTTAGAGAGTCGGACTTGTAACCCGAAGGTTGTGTTTGAGTCTCAGGTCCGGCAGGAATTGTCGGTGGGGGGAGTGAATAACCAGCACTCTCTTCCACCACCAAAAATAATGCATCAACAGGTGCTGACTTTTCCCAACAGCACAGCAGTAATTACTTTATGAACTTCTTTACTTCCAAGATTGATACATTTAAGATAAAATTATAAGCATGCAACCATCAGCTACAATATCGCATCAGATAGATCCCCTGAGGAACAATTCCACTCATTCTCTGCTAAAGGAGAGGAAGAATTGTATAAACTTGTTAAATCATCTAAACAGATAACATGTTAGACCCTATTCCATTTAAGCTACTTAAAGAGGTGCTTCCAGAAGTCATAGTTCTTCTTCTGAATATTATTCATTCGTCATTTTTATTAGGATGTGTCCCAAAAACCTTCAAACTGGCTCATTAAGAAAAACACACTCCTAGAGAATTACAGACCGATCTCAAATCTCCCTTTTCTGTCAAAAATACTAGAAAAGGCAGTGTCCTCTCAGCTATGTTCCTTCTTAGAGAGAAATTGTATCGCTGAGAATTTTCAGTCAGGATTTAGACCTTATCATAGTACAGAGACTGCTCTCATCAGAGTTACAAATGACCTGCTTTTATCATCCGATCGTGGTTGTATTTCTCTCTTAGTGCTACTGCATCTTAATGCTGCGTTTGACACTATCGACCACAACATTCTTTTGAGTAGACTACAAAATTATGTTGGCATTAGTGGAATTGGATTGTCGTGGTTCAAATCTTACTTATCTGACCATCATCAATTCGTAGCAGTCATTCACAAGTACAGTATGGAGTGCCACAAGGCTCAGTACTAGGAAACCTACAAATTTGCAAAACTAACGGAATGCATAGTTGATATAAAAACTGGATGACTAGTAATTTCCATCTGCTAAAATCTGGGGAAAAAAACTGAGGTTTTAATTATTGGAGCACAAACCTCTGCATGTAATAACCTAAAACACTGTCTAACACTTGATGGCTGCTCTGTTAATTTCCTCATCATCAGTTAGGAACCTAGCTTTTAAGCATCTTAAAAATATATCTAAATTACAACCTATGCTCTCAATGTCAAATGCAGAATTAATTCATGCATTCATGACCTCAAGGTTAGATTATTGAAATGCTTTATTGGGTGCTTGCTCTGCACGCTTAATAAACAAAATCCAGCTGGTCCAAAATGCACTGCGATCTCAAAACTCTGGCCATTTGATAATACCTAGAATATCAAAATCAACTGCGGGCGGCAGATCCTTTTCCTATTTAGCGCCCAAACTCTGGAACAATATGCCTA